ACGCGGCAGGGGGCTCCACGGGGCAGGGAGTAGCTAGTTCGGATTAGGCTTCCTAATCCGAACTAGCTGTACTCCTCATTCCACGAGGAGTACAGCTACTTCGGATTAGAAGCCTAATCCGAACTAGCTACTCCGTACCGCGTGTAGCCGCGCGGCACGGGATTCGAACTAGCCGGGATTTAAAAATGGCGGCGCCCGGTTTATGCAAATGAAGCCCGGGAATTCAAATCCCGGGCTTCATTTGCAAGTGCGGTATGCCTACATTACCCCGCTAGTTCGAACTAGCGGGGTAGTGTAGACATATCCATATATACCATGAATCAAATGAATATAAAAGAATGAGCACACCCCTAATTTTAATTCTTATTTTAAAACTAATTAATCAGGAAAGAAAAGACATAAAACTAATACAGTTTATGTAAAGGTCTTGAAAAGAGAAGCTCTCTTAAAAATGGCCATGAAAAATTAGATGACTAATTTGTAAGAAATAAAAAGCTGACACTTGATCCTGTTGTCATTGGAGTCAAAGATAATGAATTTCAGTGGGAACAGGAGAAAATCCTTCAAGTTTGTGAGGAAATGGGGTTCCAAGGACCACAACAATATTTATAATTTATAACATTACAAAAGTAGAATGCATTTTCTAGAACTGGTTTCCACATACAGTTTATTGAGCAAGTTGTATGTTAAAGGGCTAATAGGAAATGAGTCAAGGATGCAGCAGCACATTAACTACGTTACTTAAAGAGAAACAACAGTTCCACAGAGAATCTTTTTTCCCCCAAGAGTTCTTAACTGTGCTGTAAAATTTTGCTATAGGTTGAAAAACAAACTTTTTTTTTCAAATTAGCAAAAATTTCAGTTATTTCTAAAGTTTACATGTACTACACACACACAAAAATGACATTCTCTGATGGTGTAAACTGGCACAGCTCTATCAATTTCAATGGAGTAGCATCAACTAATTTACAGGATCATGGAAAACGCTGTGAAAGGCAGCCTTTAAGCAATCACTCCAAGGTATTGCCAAGCATTTTACAATGTTAAATTATCTGTAATAAGAATCATGAATTGTAGTGTCCATAAAATATATGGCATATATGTATTGAAGGACTTGACTCTGCAAACACACACACTTTAAGTATACGTGTAAGTGCAGAAATTTGAGGCAAAGTTTGTGCACAAGTGATTCTAGACTTTGCATTGTTTCCATTTGCTACTTCTAGTTTTGATACCGAAATGCCAAACACTAGTCAGAAACAATGGCCATGTTATCCAAGCCCAAAACGGATCTTCTGTGGAGGTATCTTCCAGCTAATTGGCAGAAGTGAAGTCAGCTGTCTTTTGTGGCAGGATTCCCCCATCTTGAAGACCCCAGGGGGACTTTTCTGACCATGCAGAGTCCATGCTGAGGGAGGAGGAGGCAGGATGGCCAGGAAAGGAGGAGTGGGATGGGGGTAGGAGTTGGTGTGTGTGTGTGGGGGGGGTGGGTGGGGGTGGGGGCAATATTGTCCTCTCTCTGTCCCTGCAAAATGCACCCAGATAATATATCATATGGACATGCTGTCCTTTCTGTGGACACCCCAAAAAGATCCCTGGGACAACTGTAGCCAGGGAGAGAACCTAACTGCTCACAGCAACTAGCAGACAAAGCCAGCAGCGGCGGCTGGGAGCCCTGGCGCTTTTGAATCACAGGACCCTGGGGCAGTTGCCCCGTTTGTCCCTTACCTTTCCCTGTCAGCGGGCCTGTTTATGTGTGTGTCATTTTAGTAATATCAGTAGGAAAAAAACGTGAATGGAAACCAGTGAAATTTGGCAATCCTGTACATGGACAATAGTAAATAAAATGTCTTGTAGGCCACACACACAACCCTGATAGACCACATGCAGTTGCCCATTACAGCCTTACATGATCTGGTTGGAAGAAATTGGGAATCCATGATTTGGTACAGCAGGATCAAGTCCCAAGATGTTTTTCAGAGTATAAATAGAAACAACAAGCTCCCGCTAATGCTTTTAAATTTTGACAAAAAGCAGAAAATCATCAGCATGAGTGTTGTTATTGTGTGAAATAATAGCTGAGACCACCTATCCAGTTTGCAGGATTCAAACCTTTTACTCATGCACACAGTTCCTACTTACATGGGTCATATGCCTGCCAGCCCTTACTCACATAAGCAATCCCTATTACAAGCAATGTCCTCTTTCCTTTGGTCCTTAGGATCTGGTTCAAAACCCTCTAATGTGAAATCACTTTCACTGACTTCAGTAGGCTTGGGATCAGGCCCTAAATCAACAAGATATCTAAAGTAGTAAGCAGAGCCCTGCAAATCTGCAGCTCATTTTTGCAGATACAGATACAAATTTTGCATCCAGAACTCTACAAATCTGCAGGTACCCACTTTATATAATTTTTCCATATACAGATGTGGATGTGCCATGGTCTTGTAATAAGTATCCCTAATATAAAAAGGATGAATACTATCAAAACATTTAATTTTGGTATATAAGAATTCACCATATAATAATTGTTAGAAGGACATCAGTCAAATTCCTTTTAAATTGTCTGTCAGAATTTATTAAATTAGATTTTTACTAATAAGATGCAGAATACATACAAAATATTACTTTCCAATTCACAAAGGTTTAATATTAGAGAAGAATACAAAATAGGAAAAAATTAAAAGCATTAGGTTTAGTTAATTTTATAACACTTTTGATTCAGTTGAGTCAGCTAACATTCATGTGAACCATTCACATTTCCATTGATCAACTCATTTTTCCCTTTGATTTGATTATTCCGAAGCTCATTTTAATCAAAATAATAAAAGACCTTAACATCCTTGAGACAAAGCTTATTAGATTTGTTAATGTGTATTTTTGATGTCCAAAATAAATTTTTATAATGATGTTTTTCATGCCCAATGGTGACGTAGGGGGTTTTGCTGAACAATTAGACAAACATGATCTTTGCCTTGAAGAGACAAATTTAAATATGATGTGTCAACTGACACAACAAAAAATAGGGAGGAAATGGGTGAAAGGGCAAGCTCCCAAGATCAGTTTAAGAATGTAGGGACATTTGCGCCATCAGCATCTTATTGCTTTTGTTGTTGTAATGATTAATACTATCAGGGGTTTAAAATCGGGTTTAAAAAGTTGACCCTGATTGAATCATCTCTGATGTAACACTCCCATTTCTCAGAGGGGTAGCTGTGAAAGTCTGGATCTGAAAAAGCGACAAGGAGTCCTGTGATACCTTATAGACCAACAGATGTATTGGAGCATAAGCTTTCATGAGCATAAGCTTTTCGTGACATGCATCTGACGAAGGGGGTCTTTGCCCACGAAAGTTTATGCTCCAATACATCTGTTAGTCTATAAGGAGCCACAGGAATCCTTGTTATCCCATTCCTGTACCCCTAGGCTACGTCTAAACTGGCATGATTTTCCGCAAATGCTTTTAACAGAAAAGTTTTTCCGTTAAAAGCATTTGCGGAAAAGAGTGTCTAGATTGGCACAGATGCTTTTCTGCAAAAAAAAAAAGCGTCCGTGCCAATCTTGACGCGGTTTTGTGCAAGAAAGCCCCGATCACCATTTTCGCCATCGGGGCTTTTTTGCGCAAAACAGTTTTTAGCTGTCTACACTGGCCCTTTTGTGCAAAAGCGTTTCCGGAAAAGGGCTTTTGTCCAATCTGGAGCGTGAAAGTATTTGCGCAAGAAGCACTGATTTTGTACATTACAAAGTCAGTGCTCTTGGGCAAAATCAAGCGGCCAGTGTAGACAGCTGGCAAGTTTTTGCTTGCGCAAAATCTTGCCAGTCTAGACCCACCCCTACTGTTTCGTTTTTTTCTCCTTTCATGCAGCTGAAGTGAGTTGTAAATCACAAAAGCTCATATGCCCTAATAAAACTGGCAGGCTGTGTCTAGACTGGCAAGTTTTTCCCGGAAATCAGCCGCTTTTCCGCAAAAACTTGCCCGCTGTCTACACTCGACTGATGATCTAATGTAAGATCGTCCGTGCTTTTCCGGAAATACTATGCTGCTCCCGTTTGGGCAAAAGTCTTTTTCCGAAAGACTTTTGCGCAAAAGGGCCAGTGTAGACAGCACAGTACTGTTTTCCGCAAAAAAGCCCCGATCATGAAAATGGCAATCAGGGCTTTTTTGTGGAAAAGCGTGTTTAGATTGGCCACGGACGCTTTTCTGCAAAAAGTGCTTTTCTGTTAAAAGCATTTCTGGAAAATCATGCCAGTGTAGACGTAGCCTTAATCTTTAAGGTGCCATCGCACGCCTTGCTGTTTTTGCAGAAACAGACTAACATATCTACTCTGAAACCTAAGGAACAGACTCTCGGAGGGGTAACCGTGTCAGTAGCTTTACCCACAAAAGCTCATGATTCTATATCTTTTGGCTAGTCTCTAAGGCCGTGGTCCCCAACATGGCGCCCGCGGGGGTATTTGCATTCGCCCGCCAGGTGCTTGGGGCTGGCCTGGCCCCGGGCACATGGCGCACGGGGAGCGCCGGCACCGGGCGCGTGGCGTTTGGCGGGGGGGAGCGCCAGCCCCGGGCGCGTGGTGGTTGGCAGGGGGAGCGCTGGCTCCGGGCGCGTGGCGCTTGGCAGGGGGAGCGCCAGCCCCGGGCGCGTGGTGGTTGGCAGGGGGAGCGCTGGCTCCGGGCGCGTGGCGCTTGGCAGGGGGAGCGCCAGCCCCGGGCGCGTGGTGGTTGGCGGGGGGAGTGCTGGCTCCGGGCGCGCAGCCCTTGGAGGGGGCACCGGGTGCGTGGCTATGGGGGGGGGCGTGGCTATGGAGGGGCCCCGCCCCCTGGCGCCCAACAACCTCAAAAGGTTGGGGACCACTGCTCTAAGGTGCCACAGGACCCCTGGGTGTTTCTAAGGAACAGAAATGGTTTCATTCTAGCTGGGGAGCTAGATGTGCCTGGGAAAACATGTATTGGACCCTAAATCTGACTAGCTGCAAAGGGCGGGCAGGAAAGGGTCACTCACAGTTTGCAAGCTGGGGCTCCAATCCTGCACCCCTGCGGGGGCAGCCCTACCGTGCCCCACGTTACACCGGAACCTCGTTTACGGCCCCATCACTCCGCCCTCGTGGACTGACGCCGCTGTGGGCTTGACAGGGTGGCCGCGGCTCGTCGGGGGCTGCAGAGCCCGGGCTGTGTGGGGCCGTGTCGGGGCTATGCTGGGCGGTGACTGGGGGGCGGGAGCAGTAGCGCTGGGCAATGTCGGGCGTACCCGGGCGGGCTCCTCAGCCAGGTCCCAGCTGCGCAGCGCTGCCCCTCAGAGGCTGGAACGATGGGCACGGGCTGACGTATGGCACCGTCTCTTTCAACGGTTGGGCTCGTTTGAAAAGAGCCAGCCGCCAATCAGAACCGAGGTGAGCCAGCGTCCTGTGACCCGTGTTTGGGCAAGCGGAGCTCCCCCTTTCATCCCCACACCTAAGGATTAGGGGAATCGCGCTCGGCCAATGGGCGATCGCTTTGCAACGAGCTGCACGGGCACCGTCCAATAACAGGAAGCCCTTTTCAGAGAGCGACGGGAGGAAGGGAGGGACTTCACGAAGAGAATCCCGCGAAGGACCAATGAGGAAGCGGCTTTCATAAGCACGCCGGCGCTGGCGCCGCCTGGCAACCAATGGGCGGCTCGCTTAGAGCGGTGGCTCGCTTTTTGAATTGGGGTCGGCGGCCGCTGCCTGGAGCTTGGCGGAGTGGCCGGGTTGCGGGTTTGAGCGTGAGGCGCGGTAAGGCCTTGTGGGGAGGGCCCGGGCTGGGGCCGCGGGACCGGGTTGGGCCGCGCCGCGCCGCATGCAGCGGAGCAGGTGAAGGAAGGGGCCGAGGGTGGGGCTGCCCAGAAGGGGCCGAGCGGAGCCCGGAACCCGCCCGCTCTGGGCTGCGCATGGCCGGTGTAAGGCACATCGCGCCGGCTCCTGGCGGCCTCGGGGGTAGCCCTGGCGAGCGACTCCTTGGCCCCTGCATTCGTCTGAGGAACAGCTCGCTCCGCCCTTCAAAGGCGCATCAGCTCCCGCCTTTGGCCTTAGGCGCAAGCTCGCTCCGCCCTTCAAAGGCGCATCAGCTGCCGCCTTTGGCCTTAGGCGCAGCCTCCGCCTGGGACTGCACCTGCCAGGCGTGTGGCTTTCCAGCCCCCCCGAGCATCCCCGCTCTGCCCGAGCCAGAGCGGGGAAACCGACCAGGGCCATTGAAGTAGCATCTTGGAGACGAGCACTCTAGTATCGTCCGTTTTGGGGTGGGGGTGGGGGAGCCTTTGTTAATTGAGGGTAACTCACTGACAACCCCGTCTGCATCTTTAACGTCTCAGAGGGGAAGCCGTTTTAGTCTGCAACTTTAAAAACAAGGCGTAGTCCTGGAGCACCAGAGCGGGGAAACCGACCAGGGCCATTGAAGTAGCATCTTGGAGACGAGCACTCTAGTATCGTCCGTTTTGGGGTGGGGGTGGGGGAGCCTTTGTTAATTGAGGGTAACTCACTGACAACCCCGTCTGCATCTTTAACGTCTCAGAGGGGAAGCCGTTTTAGTCTGCAACTTTAAAAACAAGGCGTAGTCCTGGAGCACCTTTGAGACTATGTGTGTATATATATAAATAATCATGAGCTTTCTTGGGCAAAATCTGCTGCTTTAGGCATGGGAATCCATGTGACCATTAATGGCAGACCATTAAATATGGCTTTAATAGACTCATTTTGGTAGTCTCTGCCAAGGACTACAGGGCATTGCATCCTCCTTTTGATAGGTAACTGATGTAATTCTTGCCTACCACACAGTGGTATGTCTGGGTGGGACTTGATTAATGTTTGTAAAATTCTTGGGACTTTTGTGCAACTTTTGAACTGTGAAAGGAATCCCTTTTTGTGGCTATTTGCATTTACTATAGTAAGTTACAGAATTCTCACCCAACATATCTAGATAAAACAAATTTGTTGGGAGGGGGAGGGGAAACTCCTTAAGGGTGATACTTACAGGTTAACTGTTCACATTCCTACTGCAGATCGGCTGACTATGAAAGCTGCAGGGGGTATCCCAAAACACTGAAATTCAAAGTAATGCTTGTGGGGGGAATAATTCCATCTACCTATATTTAGTGATGGGATGGAGGGCTCTACATTTTTTGATACCATTCAAGAAAGAGATCTCGGGGTTCTTCTGGATAGCATTCTGAAAACTTTTGCTTGGTGCATACTAGCTGTCAAAAAGGCTAACAATCTTAAGAACTATTAAGAAAGTGAAAGAAAATGAGATAATGCCATTATATAAATCTGTGTTGCTCCCACACCTTAAATACAGTGTTTGGTTCTGATCATCCCATCTCAAAAAACTTATATAAGGGAATGAGGGAAAGTTCAGAGCGAGCAACAAAGATCATTACACATAAGGAATGGCTTCCATCTGAGGAGAGACTTCCTCTTGGAAAAGAGGAGATGATATATGGAAAAGGGGGGGGAGAAGGATATGATAGATGGTTATAAAATTATGACTGGTGTGGGAAAATGAATAGATAAATGTTATTTATTCTTTCCCACAATACAAAAAATCAGGGCTCACCCAATGACAATAGTAGGTAGTGGGTTTACTACAAAAGTACTTCTTCAGACAATGCACAATTAATCTTTGGAACTCATTGCCATAGGATATTGTGATGACCAAAGTATAACTGAGTTTTTAAAAGGAAAGTCTATTGATGGTCAGAGATGCAACCTCATGCCCTAAACCTCTGACTGCCAGAATCTGAGTGGGGAAGATCCTCCAAACTGTCCTTTTCTGTACTTTTCAGAGATGGGATGCTTTGCTAGATCCCTTGATCTGACCCAATACAGGGCATCTCCTCTATAAGAGGGCATCTCCTCTATAAGTCACCTGGTATACATCCGTTCTGCACTAAAGTCATTGACATTTGTAGGAATTGAGGTATTGTAAGTCCTTCCATTTCCCACTCTTAAGTCATGTGTCCTCCCCCCTCCCCCCCCAAAAGCGCAAATGGAAGTTAGCCGCAGGAAAAAAGTTCCCCGCTTTAAGTTGTTTTGCTATACGTTCAAGGAACGTAAGTGATTAATTGACTATCCGATAAGCAAAAGCTTATCGGATAGTCAACAGACTATTCTCTTTCTATCAGAAAGCTGCAGCAAAGGGAGGAAAGAGGAAGGGATGCTGGGGGAAGCCAGGTTTAAAAACCGGTTCTCCCCAGTTCCGTGGGAGGGAGTAGGGCCAGGGGCACAGGCACAGCGTCGGCGTTCCACCTTTGAAATGTACAGGAGTCCCTGCTGGGGCTCTTGTGCATTTCAAAGATTGAAACGCTGCATGGAGCTTGGGGCTTGCTGGGGACTCAGGCTCCATGCAGCATTTCAATCTCTGAAATGCACAAGAGCCCCTTTTGGGGCTTTTGTAGATTTCAGAGGTGGAACTCCAGTGGCATTTCTGCCTTTGAAATATAGCAACAGCTGGGCGGGCTCTTGCTACATTTCAAAGCGGAAGCACCCCTATTGACTAATTTTATTCAATTAAAATTAGATTAATCAACTAACATCCCTAATCTTGGCTTTACAGCGAGGAAGGCCTGCATGGCAATTCTTATGTTTTTAAATATAAAGACATCTGCAGTGGTCTTAGTGAAGACACTCCTTTACCAAAGGGAGTGTCTCCTGTCTGTGTAGTTAATCCACCTCCCTGTATGTTGATGAGAGAAACTCTCTGTTGATATAACACTATCTACATGTACAGTTAGGTTATTATAACTACATTGATCAAAAGTGCTGTATTATACCAATCAAGGTCTGTAGTAGAGATGGTAAATATGGGTTAATTGAATAGTCGAGTAATCTCATGAATTCTTATTGGTTAGTTGACTATTCTAAAGTCCCTAGGGGTGGGGTCAGCAGCCTATGCACCTCACTCCCAAGGAGCCCCCTGCCATTTCGTGCTGCTTCCTCTGTATCAGAGGCAGCAGCATGGGGTGCCAGGCAGGAGCTGGTCTGTGAGGGGAGCCAGTTAAAACCCTTTGTGGACTGGCTGCCTGTCACCCTGTGTTATTGCCCCTGTGCTATTGCCGCAGCAGTGGGGGGTGACAGCAGCCCTTGTCTGGGGGGCCCGAGCTCCCGGACCCAGCGTGAACTTGAACTGAGCTGGGCTGCCTGCCTACCTGGCTCCTAATGCACTTTAAATGCAGAGCCACAGCAGGGGTAGGTCCTGGACCCATCAAAGTCAGGACTGAGCTGGGCTGCTGGCCAGTCTGCTAAAAAATTTACTGGTGGGGGGGTAGGGGAAGGAGAAATGCATGTAGTCTATACAATTAACCTATAAGCTTTTGCTTATTGGTTAATCGACTATACTATTACATCCCTAACATAGGCCTGGCCTATATTTGTATATAAAGCATGATCAATTTTATCCTACAGGCAACAGGGTTGATTTTTGTTACTTAATTGATTTGACCCATACACCACTTTCCTGGGATTTTACTATGTCCTCCCATGCACTGTGTTTTAACTTATGACCTCAGAGGCTACTATTTTAAAAGGGCACTGCATCTTGCAAGTTTTGTGTGTTTTAAGAGAAAAAATCTGTTCATATTTTTGTAAGCAAAAATATTTATCCTTTTTGAACACAGTGAGTTGTAAGATTATCCATGCAAAACATTTTGCAGATGACTTTCCTTAAAATAATAAAAGCATAGTGCATTTGGGAGCATAAGGAGGAGAGAATATCTGCAAAAAAGATACTTAACAGTTTTCTCTCTTTTTTTTTTTATTTTTTTTTATTTTTATTTTTTAAATGGTGCCTATACTGGGGTGGACAATAATTTTTGACCAGGGGCCACTTCAGAAATTTTTGAAGTGGTCTTGGGCCACCATGGAAGGGGCAGGGCCTCAGGCAGAAGGGGTGAGGCCAGGACACTTCCGTGCTTCCCTGCCCACAGGACCTGATTGGTCTGTGGGTGAGGGAGTACCTGAAGTCTTTCCCCCACCCCTTGCCAAGAGAACCCCCACCCCTTGCCAAGAGAGCCCCCCGCTGGTTGTTCCCTCTAGGCACCCACGTCCCTGGTGGTGGGAGGAGACTTCATGTGCTTGCCCGACACCCCCGGGTCAATCAGGGTTTGGGGCAGGAGGAGCACACGAAATCTGCTCCCGCCCTGCAAGGGAGCGCCATGCTTAGTCACACCAGCTGAGCAGCAGCTGTCGTGCTAGACACTAGTGCCCCTGGCAATAGGAAGAGACTTCAGGTGCCTCCTCCCTGCTCTTCCCCAGCCAGTGAGGGCCTGGGGAGAGGGGAGCACATGAAACCTCTCTGTCCCTGCCTAGCAAGGGAGTGCTGCGCTTAGTCAGCTGCCAGCTGAGCAGTAGCTGGCAGTTGAATTTTAACTGCTGAGCCCTTTGCAGGGTGGGAGGAGACTTTGCATGCTTCCCTCCCCAGGCCTTCACTGACCTGGGGGCAGCAGAGGGGAGCACCTGCAGTGTCATGCTGCCCTGCCAGGAGCGTGTGGTACTCCTAAGAGCTGCACGCTCCTTGCAGGACAGGAGAAGGCCGTGAGGAGACTTTGCTTGCTTCCCTCCCGCTCCTAGGTGCTGATTGACCTGTGGGTGGGGGGGAGCAGCATGGCCTCCGTGGGTCGGATGAACTTGCTTGGTGGGCCGAATCTGGCCCATGGAGGCTCTTTTGCCCACCCCTGATCTGTATCATGGTATCTTAAACTTTTCCAAACTGTTTCTCATTCCCTCATACTACAGTAAAACTCTGATGGTCCGGCACTCCTGATGGTCCGGCACCATTAGGAACCCGGAAGTGCTCTGGGCAGCTGGACCATTGGAGCTGCTCTGCCCCCAGCTTTCTCTATTCAGCCGCTGCTACAACTGACCAGCGGCTGTATTGGG